TGCTTGGGGCGGCCAAAACCCTGGAGCCGGCCCTAGTAACCATATTTAAAATGTGGTTGCAGTCTGAAAAAAGACCATAGAAATTGCACTGTTTCATGTTTCTCAATGACATCCTCTAATATGTACTTGCTTTACAAACAGATTTTTTTTTCTGTCAGCCCTAAAAACAGTTAACTGATCAACAAGAACAAAGCCGGCTTCTTTTCTTCTATGCACGATAGCTTGTAAATGGAATTCCATCCTCCGTTACTTCTGTGTATCTGTGGGCAGTGGGGATACACCTGTAGGATCTCTACTGGTGATGTAGGAGAAGGAAAATATTATTTTTAAAAAATTCTCAATTGCTGGGATTCCAAAACCTTTTAAATTTAAGTCCACTTAACTCTGTTCCTTACAAACTTAGAGAGCCAGTTGATGCGCACATAAGTCCTAGCCTAGCAGTGCAATGCAAAAAGATATTTAAAATTTGAAAGGATACAGTTAAAGACCAACTTGTTTTCACACCTACACCCAGGTGGCTGGAACTTCTCACAAGTATGACATAAAAGATAAACACGACTTGCCACTTGGATCCATAACTATATTTACGTTTTATTTTGCACACATACATAAATACACAGTCAAGGAAATGAGATTGGCTCTTCAGTCCTCTGAATTTTTTTTTGTATGTTAAAGAAATAAGTTCTTGGAAGAACAAGTTTGTCATAAGGAAATCATTGAAAGTGGTGAGCTTCAGATTTTTAACTTTCATTATTTAGAGGGCTTTTAGAAAAAGAGTACTATTCCTAGACCTGTGCTATTGGATCAGCAGGTGCACAGATGATGTTACATTAAAAGCATTTGAGAGAATCCTTCACTTAATTTTATAAACAAGTAACTCTGTTATCCTAATTTCATTTCTGATTTTCAGATCTTGGAATTTCTGGCACCCTATCAAAAAAGTAAGTTCTGAATTTTGGGTGTTTATTTTTTTATTGTTTAAAAATGCTGGTCCTTGTAACACATAAGATTAATAAAAGTGAAAGATCAGAGAACTTTTTTCCCATTTTGTTGGGTGTATTTGACAGCACTTTGAACGTAGTCAGTTTCACTATCTTTCTGGCACAGTCTATTGGTTTCCACACTAATAGGGAGATATACTTTTAAAGAAATAAGAAAATGGGTTTGTAAAACCACAACAATGGCAGGGTAACTAGAGACAAGTTTAGGTTCTTAAACTACATGAAATATATCGTTTTGAAACTGATGTAGTGTCCAAGTTTATACAGTCCCTTTTATCTTTTTGGTGACCTTTATATTTAGATACATTTTCTGTGATTGGCTTGACTCCACTGACTACTGAGCTGGTTCACAACCTCTCCTTAGACTGAACTAAGAGGGGGAAAATCCATGGTATTTTGGCTAAGGTCTTTTTTCTTTGAGAAAAGGAGAATGTAAAATTACTTTAATCATTGTTTGGATCTTTTCCGCCATGTTGGGTTTTGGGGCAGGGGGGGTGTTGTTTTTTGTTTTGTTTTGTTGTTCCTAGCTTAGCTGGTTTTCCCACTTTCTTAGTTAGACTCTAAAACAAAATCAGTCCCAATTTACTGACAAAAGGTGCAGTCCTGGCCTCCATTGAAGCAAAATTCAAGTTGACTTCAGTGGGGTCAGGATTTCACCCCAAGTTTCCAATGGATTCTTTCCCACTTGTCCCATCAAACAAGCCTTACATCTGTAGAGCCATGTCTCTCTTAAAATCTTCACTTTGAGTTTTACCGTTTTTAATAGTTAGGGGTTGGAAGGTGGGGAATTCCAACACTGTCCAGGTTTGAAGTGCTACTAGTTTGTCATGTGCCTCAAATCCTGTTTTTTTTCTGCAGTCTTTTGTTAAAACATCTAATGTTGGACTACCCCTTACTAATAGTTCTTCTGCATCTAGAAGGGGTGAAAATATTCCTCCTTTTTTCTATGAATGTTTTTTATAGATCTTGTATCCTACAACTTGACTGTTCTGAAGGGAAAAGCCATCCTTGTCTTCTGCTGCAGCTTTCTGAACAAGATTCTTAACTGTGAAATGCCTTTATCAACAGTTGAATATGCAGTGCCAATCCCTCACTTTTTGCCTTGATATAAATTGTATCCTCCCCTGTAGATTATAATACCATACAGGTGAATGTGAATTTAGCACTAAACAATGTTTTTGCCTTCTCCCATATTGCTAATTACTCATTGGTAATGAGATTTAAAGGCTTTCACCATTAATTCTGTTTTCATCTTTTAATATAGACTATCATAAGCTTGGCAATTTAGTTGCCATAGCTAATGACCACTACTGAGATTGGAGATAATTTATTCACAACCTATGCACACTAAATGCATTCATGATTTCTCAGTTGCCTATAACAAAAACTAATGCGCGTGCTAGCTTTGTTTAGTGTTTATGTAAATTAATGTACATACATTCAGAGTGCTTAGTTTTAACATTCAGTGTACAGCTTTATTCTTTCTTATATCTCTGCTTCTGCATTTGAATCCCTATTAGGGGAGACCTTCAGTGGAATGCTGGAGAAAAGAAGTTAACGGGAGGAGCTAACTGGCAACCAAAAGTAGCACCTGCAACATGGTCAACTGGTGTTCCTCCAACTGGTCCCTTGGTATGTAGTTCAGTAATTAGTCTGAAGACTTCATGTCCAGCACCCACTCAAGTGATGATGAAATAGGAACAAATTATTACTATTGGGTACATAAACTGGTATTCTTCCCTGTGTTTTCTGGGGGACAGTGTGTGTACGACTGTGACTATTAGTCAACATTAGCCAACTGTTAGACATGTTGTAATATCGGAGATACTTTAATTATCTCTAAATGTAGAGAAATACTGTGGTATCTTCTATGACAATGTGACTAATGATGGAAAATGTTGATTTGAGACTACCAATGTCTTTGGGCCAGATCCTTAGCTGATGTAAATTAGCATCGTGGAATTGATGTCATTTGAATTACACTGACCTACACCTGCTCAGGATCTGAGGTCAATCATTTCCAAGACAATAGGGTGTGGTATTTTCTTTTAGTGATTTATGAGCAAAATGTTTCATGCAGGGGGGGACACGTTTTGCAATCTTTGTTTCAGCTTCCATTTAATGTGGGTGTGGAATTTTGATCAATGAATTAGTTATTATTTCAACTTTTTTTTTCTTACCAGAAAGGTTGGGCAATATTCTATTATGTAAGTGAATTTCATTGTAAAGTTCTACTAATTCTACTTAAAAAAAACCTTTGCAACTAAACTTGAAAATACTAACTGCTCTTTGCCTGCACTACAGTTCTTACAGCTGGCTTAAAGTTAGATGGAAATTGTCACTAATATATTAATGTAGCTGTTCTTATATGCCTGAGAGTATGTCATTGTGACCCGATACTTAATCCACTAGCCTTTGTAGTACATTCATGAGAAACAACTTGGTAATAAGTTCTTTTATGGAAGTCAAGTTAAAAACAGTTGTTTCAGGATATCCTTGTTCCCAGCGATATTGAAAAAACTGAGGACCTGGATGCATCTGGAGATTTATAATGAGATGTGGAACTTCACTTCTAGTCACTCATTCAAACCCAGACTAGACTGGTTGTAACTGAAAGTTCCATCTGATAGGAATTCATTGGTCTCTATGAAATGGATTGGGTGGTTTTGGTAGAGTTCATAGTTCGCCAATGTCTAAAGCCAGTAAAAAAAAAATTAAAACTTTGCCAACAAGGATACCAGTGACCTAGAAATGACTATGGAGATTGAAACCCTTAAAGTCCTTTCAGGTCAGTATTGGGATACATTGGCAGAGCAATATTGAAGCTTTAACAACTGCTGCTTATGCTGTTTATTCTTTGGCTCTGTCCAGGGCATCAATCTGACACTTTTTGAGAGTATTAAATTCACATGGTAATGTTAGCTACATGATTCTTATTGCTGCTATTGTTTTAAAAATTAAAGTCCATTCCTACTGTTTATGTGAACTTTAATAGTTCTAGCATTGTTTAACTTTCTTTAAATATTCAAGAAGTTAAATTATTACTATATGTTGTCTAGTGCCTATAATGGAGGGTACCTATGGCACTGCACAATAACAGTAAAAGACAAAAATTAGTCATCAAAACTTATCTAAAGGTCCTAGTCTTTAGACAGACTACCTGTATTCGTATTGATGTTGATTCAAAAGCCTGGCTTAGTAAAAATATTTGCCAAACTTATGCTTTGGACCATTGTAGGAGGATACTTCAAAGGCAGTGGTGGCTTTTAAAGAGTTTTTTTCACTCTCTTTGGAAGCCTGTTAGCGCGCATGTGCACGCGCACACACACACACTTTCCTGAGAAGGTATGCAACAGTCCAACTGCCTTGGCCCTGAAGCTAGTGATAGCTCTCCCAAGCATCCCCAGTAATTCTTGACGCTCTGCAGAGTTCAACTGAAACTAGATTACTGTTTCACCCTTTAGGGATTCAGTGACAGTTAAAGCAAGTGTTACAGCAGTTAGAGTAAGTAACACTCAGACCTTAGAAAGGAATTTCTAAACAAGTTACATTTTACTCGTAGACCAAGCACAATGGGTAAAGATCTATGGAAAATAACAGCTGCATGCAAATCCCTCCTTCCCCGGTCCTCACCACTCTGAGAACCCTTTGGGTTTTCATCAGTCCTTTCAGAATTTCAGGCCCCTCCTTTCTTCCTGCCCAGCCATACCTTTTTGTCCTGGTTTATATGAGAGAGCCCCTGCTAAGAGCAGTACTTGTTCTTATAAAGTTTTAGCCCTCTATATCAGGCAAATGTCCTCTTCCCCCAAGTCCCTTGTCTTCAGGTCCCTTGTCAGGTGATTTGTTGTTTGGTCCCCAAACTAGGGACTCTAACTCCCTTGATTTGCAGCCAGCTCATTGCTCTAGGATGTATCCATTTGAATGGAAGACCATCTAGGTTAATAATAATGACTCTTAAAAGCTCTCCATGGTAAGCTCTCCACCAATGGGCACACAGATTTTGTGCCAATATCTCTTGGGTCTTTCAGTCAGATATAGAGGCTAAAAGGCAAAAGTGAAGGTGCAGCACTATTCATAATCAAAATGGTGTACACAAAAGAAAATGGAGTTTGCAGACTGATAGACACACATACAGACCTACATTAATGCATCACAATAATTAATTGACCAGGATCTGTAGGTTGCTGTGTTGCTCATCTTGGATCAAGATAAACAATCCCAGATGTATTATGTATGACATGTTCTAAAAGGTCTTCATAATTCATTTTGTTTGGAGCAACAACCAATCAAGGGTGCTAATGTAGCATCATAGAAATGTGGGCTAGAAGGTACCTTAAGAGGTTACCTAGTTCATCCTCCATGCTGAGGCAAGGCCAAGTATAGTTAAACCATCCCTCACAAGTGTTTGCCTAACTTGTTCTTAAATGCCCAATGATAGAGATTCCATAACCTCCCTTGAAATCCTGTTCAAGCACTTATCTATCCTTATCGTTAGAAAGCCTTTCCTAATATATGACCTAAATCTCCCTTGCTGCAGATTTAAGCCCGTTACTACTTGTCCTACCTTCAGTGGACATTGAGAACAATTGATCACTATCCTCTTTATAACAGCCCTTAACATATTGGAAAAGTATCGGGTGGGAAGAAGATAAATAGGAAGTATTGTTGCATTTCTGTACAGAAGATTTCCCTTGCAGTCATTTTCTAGTTGTATTCGATTAAGACATGGATAATATATTGAAGCTGTTTTCAGAATTAGGAATTCTATCTACAGAGCAGAACATACCTTGCAAATCCTAGTAAGAGGTGAATATCTAAAGTTTAATATTGAAATAAATATACTTTCTAGATACTTCTCTAGAAACCAAATTTTGAAGTTTCAAATGACCTGTTCTCAGTGTTTTGAGAATTAAAATGGCTGAATTGCCTTAGAGGTGGGCTGCTGTGCAATTTGGGCAACATCTAATACCTAACAATATTTAGTACAATAGTTCTGACCTTTTTGATCTTGAAATACAGTAAGATTTTTTTCCCCACTTTGATTCTATGTAATTGCAGTTGGATTGACAGAAATTCTCATCTGTGAGGTTTTTTTTTATTTTATTTTAGACTGGAACTGTGCCTCCAGCAAGTGCTATTCCTCCTGCCTCAGGTGTCCCCCCAGTTGCACAAACAGGATCAGGATTTGGAATGGTGAGTGATATTTTTCTTCATTAAAGAACTCTTCCTAATCAATTTTAGCAACCTTATATTTTTAACTTCTTAATTTTACAGCCTCCTTCTGGACCAAGTGTATCCATGATGCCTCAGCAGCCAGTTATGTATGGGCAACCTATGATGAGGCCACCATTCGGAGTTGCATCTGGACCTGGTGCACAAGTAAGTCTGTTTTTCTATGTAAAATAATTAAATGTATGTTTTAAAGTAGAAATAGGGTATTGGGGGCATGGAATGCAATGCCACTTATACAGCCATTTGTTGTGTAAGCTTTTCCTCCTACTAAACCCTGGCTGGAAACTTGGTTTTAAATGCTATCTATATACAGCTCTGAGTATATGATAAAGGAGAACTTTATTGTGCTGGCTTTTAATGCCACTGAAGTGTATGTAGCCTTATGAGAATAAATCACATGAAAATGTCCCTTTATATACATGATACTCTTTTCTTTGCCCAAACGGAAAAGTTGGGCGTTGAGCTACCTTCAGTGAGAATGAAGAGATGGATTTGTAAAGGCTCTCCCATCCAAGTATTACACCTTCCCATAAAGGCTTCCTATTTCGGTGTATCTCACTTAAACAGGTTGGGGATTGGTGGGTCACTGCCAGACAGAGCAGTGTTATTGGAAGCATTTGCTAGAGAATAACTTGAGATGCCCTTGCTCTAAAATGCTCTGCATCAATCCCGTTCCTTGCCTGCTTGGGACAAACTGTCACTTAGGGACATCAGGCCCTAGCAGGAATGCTATATTTCTTACTTTATATACAGTGCCAAGCACAAAGGGACCCCAGTGTTGGTTGGGAAATGCAGGTGTGAAGTAACACAAATTATTAACAATGTTATTGTGGTGTTTTAAAATATATCAGTTGTGGCTGTATTGCTTTGTATAAAAAATATTAGTATAATGACACTACAGACAACCTACGGTGACATTTGTGAGGCATCCGTAAGATGTATTCTGTTAAAGATATGATCTTGGATATTCGGTCAGTCAGGTCACATTGTACTTCTGGTATAATTCAAAGGGAGAGTATATGGTATATGAGAGACAAAGAAATGTGTGTACTATAGGTGGGGCTGGTAGCACTGCCCAATAAAGTAGTCTGACACTTCCTGTTTTCAGTTGCTTATAACATTTTTTTGCCAAAGTTTAATTGTTTGAGGTGAAATTTACCATGCTGGGTGTTGTCTTCCAGTTGAAATGTTTTGGGACGCTTCTGCCAAAACAGTTCAGTCATTGCCAAGAACAAGACTAGTGAAAAATGTTTTTCACTAATGTTAAATTCTGGCAATCATTTCCTTGATAAGTCCTGGCTCCCTCTTCTCTACCCCTCCCCCCTCACCCCACTTTGGAACAGAGATTTGAGAAATTTGGCAAGAGGGATGCCTTTGTAAGGGATGTGTTGTTTGATATCCCTGTGAAAAGGTGCCCAAATTTGGCCAAGTTATAAACATTTGAAAAATTGCTGAAAAATTCCACGTGATCCTCTCTCATTCAGGGCACAGGATGGACCTTCTCTGGGGATGAATAAGGGTTATGTAGGGAGGGAATGCTGTTGTCTGTAGGACACCTGCTTCATTTGTTGCCGAAGCTGGGGAATGTGTAGTGAATGAGGTAGGGGACTGCAGGAAGAGCAAGGAAGGTCTCATGGTCAAGGCAGTTGAATGCTGCTTTGGGGAATTGGTTTCTATCTCTGCCTCTTCCATAGAGTTCCTATGTGATGCATAGCAAGTCCACTTAAACCAAACTTCTCTCAGGTGGTCACACTAATTGTGTGCTTCTCATTTACTGGGTGCCTGACTTGACACTTGGGGTCTGATTTGCAGAAGTGTTGAGCAAAGCACTGCTTCCACTGACTTAATTACACCTGTGACTGATCATATAAAGTGCTATACAATGCAAAATACTCTGAAAAATCAGGTTCTAGGTGTCTCAAGTTGGGCAACCAAAATTAATGGAAACTTTGGACCTTAATCTCTCTGGCCCTCACTTTCTGAACTGCAAAATGGAGATAACACCTCCTCACCTCATAATAGTGTTAAAGATAAATTCATGAATGCTGGAAGCACTCACATACTACACTGAGCACTATAGATACAAGCCTATGAGGAAATTAATTCTGTTTTCAGAATCGGGTTTGAAACAGTGTGCCATAAACAAGGGATGGGCCACACATTGAGAAGTGAGGAAAAAATGAAGTATTGAATAGCAGCTCATGACATGAGCATTGTCCATCCTGTGCATTGAATGAGGTAGAGGTCCTGTGGAAAACATAATATGAGATCAAGTAATTACGCATATGCATTACGATTCAGTCTAAGGGAGCCAAAATTAAGGTTGCCTGTGGAACCTTAGTTCTCGTATTTCCAAACTTTTGAGTGCTTGTCTTTGCAACTTTAATCGTGTTCTTTTGATGTAGTTTTTTGTGTTTAATATTGTGTATACTGTAGCTTGGCCTACTGTATGTTTGGCTTTTGCTTTGACTGCAGATTACTTTATGCCAGTGAACACTAACTTATTCTGCAAAACTATATTGTGTATTCCATATCAGGGCCACTCAGAGGATTCAAGGCGCCTGGGGTCTTTGGCGGCGGGGGGCCCCGCTGCCGCATTGCCGCCAAAGACCCGGTACTTTGGCGGCGGGTCCTGGAGCAGAAGGACCCCCTGCCGCTGAATTGCAGCCGAAGACCCGGAGCAGAAGAAGCTCTGGGGGCCCAGGCCCTGCGAGAGTTTTTTCCGGGGCCCCCAGAGCGAGTGAAGGACCCGGCTCCAAAAAACTCGCGTGGGGGCCCCTGCGGGGCCTGGGGCAAATTGCCCCACTTGCCTCCGCTCCCCTCTCCCCCCCCCCCCCCAAGGGCAGCCCTGTTCCATATATTAATATTAAACTGTTGCTACAAAAGATCAATTAAATTGCCTTCTTACCAGGTTAGTGCTCTGAACAATACTATAACTATCTAGTTAGAGAAATTCTAATCTGCTTGGGAAAGTGTATTAGGCATTGACATGCTCTCTAAACTCCCTTATCATTTAATGGGTACACTGAGCAGAATATTCACTGCTGCCAATTATGACTAGTAAATTACTTAGAAAACCAAGGCATCTTGTTTTGTCTTGAATTAAAATGTCTGCTAAGCAGGGCTGGCTCCAGGGTTTTTGCCGCCCCAAGCGGCGAAAAAAAATAAAATAAATAAAAGTCGCGATCGGCAGCAGCTCCACCATGCCACTTTCTTCTTCGGCAGCAATTCAGCGGCAGGTCCTTCCCTCTGAGAGGGACAGGGATCCTCCTCCGAATTGCTGCCCAAGAGCTCGACGTGCCACCCCTTCCCCTTGGCTGCCCCAAGCACCTGTTTGCTCAGCTGGTGCCTGGAGCCGGCCCTGCTGCTAAGCACTGTCAATTTCGTAGTAATTGTATTTTGAAATTAAACACAGGAGTCAAACAAGCAATGACAGAGAAAAAACACTGTTACGCCCATAAATCAAGAACTCTTAACTTTTTGCAAGTTTGGAATGTGCTTGTTGTGTAGAATAAATCTACCTAATGCTTGTGCATCTGTCTCCTTTCCTTTTCTACTTTCCTTGGCTGGTTTCTGTTTTGTCAGCTCTCTCCAAGCCCTACGCCTGCCACTCAGAGTCCCAAGAAACCTCCAACAAAGGACCCATTAGCAGATCTTAACATCAAGGATTTCTTGTAAACAATTAAGGTATTCTGTGACTGACTTTGAACTTACCTGGGTTATGTATTTAGTTTGCAGCAGTTAACGTTTTATATGTTGTACTAGTTACTAAAAGCATACCACTCTCTTTTTAAGTTTGAGTAAGAACCTGCAACTGTTTGTAGAAAAATACAACTGTGAATGAGAACCAGGAGGTACAAGTTAAAGTCCTTTTTAAAAGTTTTTTCGGGATGCAAGATAGGTTTAAATCACAACTACTTCTCCATGCCATTCTGTCTGACAAACGGAATAAATTGGTAACAGTATATTTATTCACAATATGTGACTTAATTTGCTGTTAAGAAAATATTTTCTTAACATATACATAGTAAAAATTGTAATCTCATATATACTCTGTAAATTGAACAAAAGCAGTGCACATGTGGGTTTTTAAAGTTCATTGTTGTTGCTTCTCTGTTCTAGCCAGTTTTCATTTACATCATTGAGTTTGCAGTGTTCTTTTGACTATCCACTCTGCCTTCATTTGATTATGAAGGCTGTTAGAGGTGGACTGGAACACTGGGGCAAAACTGAAAGAAAGGTTACTTTGCCAGAAGCAATCTTATTTCTTTATGCTGCCGTTATAGTCGATTTTTGTTTAATAATAAAACTCTTCTTCACATTAATTCTTCTTGTGACCAGTCCTACACTGTAATCCTAATCTGGTGTGAGAAATTAATTTGTGCCATAAAACTGATTTGGTAACACTGTTACGAATGAGTGAAATTGAGACTCCCAAACATGTGCATGTCCTCAAAGGATGCCAAATCTCTAATGGGGATGGAAGGGGGTATTGCCTGCATCCTTCATTGCTTTCGGCCCTATGGTCTCTCCTCTTCTCCCTGTAGGGTGCTACAGGGCATTGCTCTTCTGCACATCATGGCATAAGGCATTGAGCAGTGCTATGTAGAACAGCCTATGGGAAGCATGGATTAGCGAGGGGAAAAAACACCTGTGGGGATACGCTGAAAGAGAGAAGGAGAAACTAGGGAGGGAGGGAGCTGAGGGAGAATAAAAGGCAAAGAGGAGCAACCAAAAAACAATTTAAAAAAAAAAACAAGGGAAAAGACTGTAACCATAATAAACCTTTCTGGGAAGCAATCTGAGGGTTCAGATACCAGAACATCACAAAACAGTTTGAGGGAGCCAACCAATAAAATTTGGAGACCACTGAAGTAGAGCAGATAGGCTGTGAGAAACTGTGTTCAATAGTTTTGTCTGCCATTTATTAGAATTAAACAAGAGGAAAAAGTAGCAGCTTTACATCATCTCTGGTGGTAGTTTTTCCTTATTGTACTCGGTGCAATCCACAGCTTGTGAAAATTTGACATCAGGAAGAATTTGAGAATTGTCCTGATTCAGTGACTGAAGAAGCTGCACCTTTGGGCTTTAACCCCACAACCTGGGGTGGTGGGGCTCAGGCTTTGGCTTTGGGTCCCCTGCCAGGGGCGGTGAGCTCAGGCAGGGCCAGGTCTCGGTCCCTCCTCCTGAGGCCATGTAGTAATTTTTGTTGTCAGAAGGGGGTCACAGAGCAATGAAGTTTGAGAACCTCTGCTATAGATAATGACCGAATCAGAGCTATTCGTGAGCATAAATAACCCATTGTAATTAGGACCCAGTGTCTTCAAAGATATCTACATAAGCATGATAGTCCAGTTGCAATATTGGGGCCCCAATTTATTGAGGAGACACCTCCATCAGAACTCAAGTTAGAAAATAGCTGAATTCTTAAATGCTTTAAGATATGATAAGGGGGAATATCGATTCTTTTGTATACCAAGTTTGACCTTAAAGCTGCTCTGCAACCATTTTTAATCAAATTTGAATCAGACTTGTGTAGCTGTTCCTTCTAACTATGTTTTTGTCTTCACAGCTGCAGTTTTTCTGACTGGATAGTTAAAAATGTGAGTTTGGAGTCTACAAATCACAGATTGATGCTCAGAGTTTCAAAGTGAGCCACCAGTACCAAACCCAGTGCTTATTCAGACTTTCTCTTACTTCCGAAACGTGTAGCACAGCTGTGAAAGTGAACGTTAGGAATGTATACTACCGTAGCTGTTACCCCTACTCTCTCTCAATTTGTGTACTTGGGTTATTTGTGTTCTCCAGTTTAAACAATGGATGTATGTTTCTAATGCCTTCTAGTGCTTTTCTGAACCTATTCAGTGGGGGGCAGATTATGCAGCTGTTGTGTGGTGAGCCATTTGGAGCGATGTGTCTGTGTTTTTGAAGGTTTCAATGTATATAACTTTTGACAAACACCTGAAATTTCCCTAAGTTAAGTTTCTTCTTTATCTGTTACAAAACATAGTGTGATAATACCAATAGTAAGAAACACTTAACTAGACAAAATCTTTGTGTGAAATACATTTTTCCCAGTCACAGGAATTTCAATTGTTGTGAGAAATGTTTTATTTTTATGGCACTGTATATGTTATATTATAATTTAAAGTAATATAAAGGTAAATTTCCATAACAAATACTCCTTTCAAGTTACTTTACCAATAATGAAAAATCATATCTGAAAGAATACTATATTTATCACTTTTTTAATTTAAAATATATTTTAATTCTTTGAGTTCTTGCATTTAAATTCGCTTATTTATCAGTTCTTGCTAAATGCATTGAAAATAAGTAAAGGGTCAGTTTCTCTCCATGTAGCTGAAAAAAGCAGCCATAGTTGTGCTGACATTAAAGAATGTCAAATATGAAAGCACTCTTTGGTGTGTCTGTAGTTATAACATTATTGCATTTTTATTTAACTCTTTTATGTACATCTGTTATTTTAGTGCTTACCTGTGTGTATGCCTTAGAGTAGCGTATTTCCATTCCCCAACTATGCTGTGAGTAGTTTTTGTACTATTTGTGATTAGACCTCATTCTGATCCAGAGAACCACACCCTTTACTGTACATATTGTGTTTCTTTAATTTTTAGTTTGTTCTCCTACTGTTTGTGCTGATGGCTTGGCTTAAGATTTTGACTCTTAAATGAGGTCACTGTTGATCAGTGTTACAAGTGGCTTGGCAGCTCTTTGTTCAAAGCATATTGAATTGGAAAGATGTTCACCTAAGTCTTTCAAACTAACTATTTAATCAATGTCTGGTACCATTAAAAGTGGTTGTATCTGAATTAACTGTGGGGATAACATACACTCTAATGGGGGGAAAAGTTATATAAAGCTAATTTCAAAATAGCTTTTCTTTGTATTTTGGTTTAAGAACCCAGTGCATGTATGCCCTCTGAGATGCAATAAACACCTTGATCAAAGTAAATATGAACACTCTAATTGTCTTTCTAATTTCATAAAAGATTCAGGATTATAGCCACTAGTTCTCAATGTATTGTTTGTCCCACAGTTTTAAAAGTGCACCATTTTCCAAAAAATTTAGTGTCTGTCTACACCTGAGTCCCCTACTAAACTTTGACTTTTACAGTCTGTTTCCTGTGGCTAAAATCTTTCCCCTATTGCTCTGTGAAAGAAAAAAGTTAAACTGACTAGGCACAAAGTGACATACCCTGGACAAAGTAATCATATTTTTCAATTTGTTCTCTTTAATTTTTAAAAATCATACCTCTGTAATGTATATGACATGTAACAGACAATTTAAAGTTTACATATCCTTTCAACTAAAAGACTGGATTTCACACACAAAAAAATAATGAAACATTTAAAAAACACAATATAAACTTCAAATTTAAGTCAATCAGTACTGTTTTCCAGATGAGTTTCTAATTCTGAAACTGGCAGTAAAATTGGTTTGAAATTGTCCTAGACTAATACAATGCTGCAGCTGTTTAAGGTAACACAACTTATAGAACAATATCTAATATTTAAAATTAGATGCAAAGTCTTTGGACTAAATCCAGCCTTTGGCTAAATGGGTGCAGTTCAGTTATTTTCAGTGGAGTTGTACCTTAAGCCAGAACTGAATTTGGCACATGTGATTATTTGAGTCGTCCCAAAATGCTTTGCAGCAAAGATTCTATTTGAATTTTAAATTTCAAAAGTTTCCCTGACAGATACCTTGCTGCTGGTTTCTTTCACCCTTATCAAACAGATAGATAAACCATAGGCCCAGGCTCTGCAAGTAAACATATATAAAGTTATTCACATGCATAAGTGTTTAGAAACTATGGGCTATTCTGCCAAGCTTGCACAGATAGTAGCCGCAAAAGAAAAAACTTTATTGTACAACATTCCTTCAATTCATACGATGTAATGCCCAAAGGAACACACAGATGAACTTTACAGCCATGCTGTTTCCTGGGGCAAAAGTGGATACAATGAATGGGAGAACTTTTAGAGGCATGCATAACTAAACACCAGGCAGAGATTATGTAGTCAAATATGTAGCTAATGACCCAGTCATAACCATCAAAGCAAAACTTCAACTGTTGAGTATCCAATTAATGCTTGCCAGGACAGATTAAATTTCAGAGTATGGTATACATTTGACTTAGAATGTAAGAAAAAGCATACAGCAGTAAACTTTCTCAATAAAATAAGCACTCTGTCTATTGTGTTGCTTTTTTAAATAAGCAAATTAACTGGATATCATTGTACTAAAGAGCTCTCATTTTTCTGTTAATTTAATTGTTTGCTTCATATGCCAAATGGTAGCACTTGTAAATTATATGCCATGCAATATTGTAACATAAATAGGACATTAAAGTCTCTTTCTTGACTAGTGTGGAGAGAGAAAAAGGGTTTCACTAGATGCCTGACATTGGGAAGAACAGCAAGGCTCAACTGATATTTCTGAAATATAGTGGATAGAAAGTGGTCACTGATTCCTGATACCTGTACTTGCTGCATAGTTTATTATTTCATAGAGGCATGGGAGAGTAGTAATTATATATAACACACACACACACACACACGATATAGATATAGATATAGAGTGTGTGTGTGTATTATACAATATATATATAATCTGTTTTGAAAGGCATGTTAGAGGAAGAACCTCTTTATGAACCAAGATTTGCATTGTAAATAAAATAGGTATAATAAGCACATGTTAAGGTCTTTTGAATTAGACATGGATGGTAACAATTGCTCAAAGTACCCAAATATTAACTGTTATGTTCTGATGTGATATTCAAACACTTTTTCAATACCACTTATAAAACTGCTTGTTTTATGCTCCAGAAAGAGTTAATCCAAGAGGGATTCCCTTGTAATATAGTCCTCCATAATACACGATCACAGATGAAGGAAGAAAGTGTGCCACTAAGGGTACGTCTATACTACGCACCGGATCGGCGGGTAGTGTTCGATGTATCGGGGATCGATTTATTATGTCTCGTCTAGACGTGATAAATCAATCCCCGAATCAATACCAGTACTCCACCTCGGTAGGAGGAGTAAGCAGAGTCGATGGGGGAGCTGCGGTGGTCGACTCGGTGCCGTGAGGACGGCCAGGTAAGTCGAACTATTCGCGTAGCTGAATTTGAAGTATCTTAGTTTGAACCCCCCCAGTGTAGCTCATACCTAAGTAACAGTGACCTTAATATAATTAAGCTTGACCACTTCCTTGGGGAAGGGAATCTTATCAAGAGTTAGTACTCTCACACTATGCCTCAAGAAAGAGGACTTCCCCTCCACCCAAAACCCCAACTATATTAGATAGAAGTCATCTAGGTTTGGAAGTGAAATCCTGAGAACTGTTATACAGACTGCTTTGAACATACGTGATGTGGGCACACACTCTGAATCCAATAAGCAAGAAACAAGTGTGGGTGTTTTAATAGCAATAAGGAACAAGCAGGAATCAGTGTGTGGGGGGAGTGGAAATAATTGGTGCTACTCTCCCAAACCTTTCCCACATACCTTCTTTTTTTTTCATAATAGGAGCAATCTTCTTCCCTGCATTGCTTTAATCTGTGTTTATCTAGCTAGTATTTGTACGATCCACAGACCTGTGAATGCTAATGTTCCCCAATAGGCTCCAGGGTCTCACCCCTTAAGCAGTTGTAGGAGAAGACCTGATGGGATGCTTTCTCCCACCCCCTGGAGAAACGGGCAATCAGAATTGCTGTATGTGGCAGGCACTGCAGATTTACAAAGTCTCACAACCATCAGAACAATTAATTGTCAGTTTAAAAAAAACAACAATGGCAATTACAGTGCCACTACATAGAATGATAAAATAGGGTTATCAAGCCTCCTCCTGAACAGAATCTGATCGATCAGCTGCCATAAAGGGGGAAAAAAAACTCCAGCTCCTGCTCCAGCCTCCTACTTGTGCTGTATTTTATTATGGATACAAAAATACATTGAAGATTGCAAGGCACTCAGTACAGTAATGGGGGCCAAATAAAAACCTAAGATAGATGAGCAGATGTTTTCCCCCCCACATCTCTGAAGTAGCGGTGCTGGACACTTTAGGAGACAAAATGGACTTTTCTCTGTCACCGTTCTTCTCTGGATTTCATGCTCTCAAATGCTGAACTCACTTCTCTCCCTTCACCACCCTCATCCTGGGGCAAACCATTTTAAAAGCAAAGCCTGCTAATTGTTCTTGCATATACAGTATCTAATATACACCTGTAAACATAGGTAACTTCCAATTAGGATAACAAGGGAAAGGAGGCAGGAAAGAACCAGCAAGTGGAAGAAAATGAAGTTGCAGGAGCTAATTTATACAAAAGTCGCTGTCTCGGTCAGTTTCGTGGTCGGCACTGTTCCCAACGCCACCACTCGTCCCAGTCCTGGGATAGTGGCAGATCGTATACAGTCTGGCCTGTCGTCAGTCGATGGGACAGGCTAGTCAGGCTGAACAGCTTGCTCCACCGGTGCCACAGCAGGTGCAGTGGCACCGGGCTCCTTGGCCGGCACTATGGTACCAATGGGCCCATGGCCACCGAGCAAGCCACCACCGGGGGCCTCGGAGAGACTGTCTGCCTCCCTTTCTTAACCTCCTAGGAAGTAGTCGGTGGAGCATTCATCCCCAGTTCTGCCCCAGGAGGGGGACCATGAGGTGGGACCTACGGCACCAGTTGGTATGCAGAGTACCGCACCCCCATCCTCCTCCTCCTCCCCGGATGAGGCAATCATGGCCCCTCCTCCGCCTGTCCCACAGGAGCACTCTAAAGCCCACCAAGAACTGTTTGAAAAAGGTGGCATCAAGCCTCAACCTTCAAGCCAAGGAGGTGGAGGAATCTTCGGACTCCCTCTTCAACATCCTCTCGGCTTCGGCACCGGGCAGGGTGGCTTTGCCACTCCATGAAGGGGTGGCAAAGATTTTGAACGCCTTGTGGCAAACTCCAGCTTCCTTGCCCCCCATCTCTAAGAGGGCAGAACGGAAGTAATTTGTGCCTGCCAAGGGGCATGAATACCTGTACATCCCCCCCCTACCCCAACTCTCTGGTGGTCCAAGTTGGTCAACCACAGGGAGAGGCAAGGCCAACCAGCCCCTACTCCGAAGAATAAGGACTCGAGGAGGCTGGATCTATTCAGGAGAAACGTTTATTCATCCTCGAGTTTTCAATTGAGAGTGGCGAACCATCAAGTCCTGCTGGGGAGATACAAATTCAATTTGTGGGGTTCTCTGCCCAAATTCAAGGACTCCCTCCAAGAGCGTGACAAGAGAGTTCAAGTCTCTGGTGGAGGAGGGTACGGTTGCCACCAGGGCAGCCCTTCAGACAGCCTCGGATGCAGCAGATATGGCTACAAGGTCTATGGCCTCCACAGTGTCCATGAGGAGGGTTTCGTGGCTTCTGCTGTCTGGGCTGTCCAGCGAGGGGCAGAACTCCTTACAGGACCTTCCATTCAATGGCAAGGCCCTGTTTGCAGAACAGATAGATGTGAAATTGCATGGCCTAAAAGATTCCCGCACAACACTAAAGACCCTTGGCCTCTATGTCCCGGCTCCAGCCAGGACCAAGTTTAAGCTGCAGCAGGCTCCCACCCATTCTAAATATGAGCCCCCTTATAAAAAGTGAAGGGACTATAAGAAACACCTGCAGAGGCAATCCCAATCTGCACCTCCAAGGGTAAACAGGCGGGAAAGTGTCAGTTTTGACAAGATGCCTGGGGGTGACTTACCAGTTCATACCTGGGATCCACCCGCAAAAAAAGCTTCCCTTCTCCAACTGGTTGTGTGCTTTTCTCCCAGAGTGGTTGCGGCTGACCTTGGACCGATGGGTCCTCAACACCATCTCCTGGGGCTACACCTGCCCGTTTACCTCTACTCCGCCCACCTCACCCTCCATCCCCGTCACTCCTCAGGGACCCCTCTCACGAGACCCTGCTCAAGCAGGAGGTGGGGTG